CCAAAGGCCACTACCAACACGCGATGGGGGGGAAGGAGATGTAGAATAACAATACAATAAACGACACTTACCGGCGTAAGAGTTCCAGCTAGCGTCCAGCTGGCAGACAAAAATAAAGCAGGTTGTAACTTAATACAAACCCTGCAAACTAACTGAAATTAAGCTGGTATTTATATAGAAATACTTCCACTCAGGTACCAGCAGCCAATCACAGCCCAAGCAATGGACTATCCCACTTTAGCATAATGAGATGCTCCATTGCACCATAAATAACTCTTCCTCAATGTTGAATCAGTCTTCACTCAGCTTGCTCCACAACTGAGTGTTTATCTTGACCACGTGATTGTTCGACACACAATATCAGCATATTCGCAATGCATTTATGGCAACACGTGTGACTGACTTGTTTCTATGTTTTTCTTATCCTGTCCTCGCCATATCGTACAGAACACATCTGCCCATTTTCTCGGTAAGTGACTTTCTCTTTTGTCACATGTACATCACAGGTTCACTTACATACTTCTCAACATAGTCACCACCTCTTTCAATGTTCCACCTAAAAATGGGGGCATGTATCCCAGCGTCGTAAACCCACAGCTGACTATTGATGCAATCAATTACTTACAGGAGTATTCACTTCTTCATCACTACCTGACTTAACAGCGTCAGACTTCCGTCTCTCTGTTCCAATGAAAGAGGTAGTGAGGAGCAAACCTTACGGTGGCAGTAGAGAAATGAAAACTGCTGTAAGGAATTGGCTAAATCAGCATCCAGCTGCGTTTTACAAAGCTGAGATAAATACCCTCATTCGTAGACTGCCATTGAAAGAGGTGGTGACTATGTTGAGAAGTAGGGATGTGAACCTGTGATGTATAGCTATATCTTGATGTAGAATATTTTTGATTTATGGTTCTTATTTCTTATGTAATCAAACAGATTGATTTGCTATTCACATTGTTCGGACTGTTATCATCATCATTATTGTCATATTCACGACGTTTCGGCCGTTGTGCGATCCGACCTTCTTCAGCTGATATGCGCTATAATTTCGAATCGAACCCTCTATTTAGTCCACTGGGATAGACTGTTCTAGTTCCTTGTCTTTTCTTGATGTCTCAGTTTTAGTTACTCCCTTTTAGTAACTCAACTGTACAAGTTTTGTTCACTTTTGTTGTGACCAGGTATTGAACTCACAACTCTTTGGGTCAAGGCACTGAATTACTTTAACCACGTTTTTATCCTCATCTTCATTGTCATATTCAGGACGTTTCAGCCGTTGTGAGCTCCGGCATTCTTCAGCTTTGCTTTTTAAGAACCCCACCCCACATATATATGTGTGTGTGCGTGTGTAGGGGGGGTGATTCACCCTTGTTTTTCACAAACTTTAATTTCGAACAACGTCCAGAATATAATTCGTATATCCATCAAAATAACAATATTTTTAAAAGCACCTAATGATTGGAAATGAAATATCGTTTACCTCAAGTTAGGTTTGATATAACTCTCTCTCTCTCTCTCTCTCTCTCTCTCTTTCTCTTCAATAATTAGTCGATGATGACTCTTCACATTAGGATTTCTTTTAAGTAATTTCTACGTAATAAATTATGTAATTAGGGTGGCATTTATTAAATCGAAGTTATGGCCTGTTTTGTTTTTATGTTTTATGTTACGACCAAGTTCAAAGTGTTGTCTCAACATAAGTCTCTCTTATGTTCGTAGAACTAAGCTTTTAGGTTTCTAGCTGTTCTGCCTATGTGGCTTTTCTGACATCGCACGAGTTTTATATCATAAATACTGGCATCTGATTTGTGATATAAAATCAGCGAAAATTTAGCCCCAGCAATGTCAACACGGGTCGCGTTGGGAATCGTATATTTGCTGCGTGTTTACGGAAACTACAGTGACCTCACAAGCAAACATTTGGCAATATTGGAACATTTCCAAAATATCTTGTCTGTAAGAAGATAGTTTCAGGGTTTCAGAAATGGTCTAATTTTGTTCCAGTTCCAAGTAGTTGTCAAATTATAATCGTTTGAAATAAATCAAAACAGACTGAATCATTTATATTTATATCCTGGATAGTTGCTTTTCTGTTTGTTTGTTTTTTCTGAAGAAGTCATTGGAATATTGTTGAAATAAATGTTATAAGTAACAGGTTGGGGGTTTGATTTTGTTTAGTGGCATATCAACACCTCTATGGGTTATTTAATACCGGAATATAAATATTTTGAACACAATTTTATGAATCCAATTCCAAATAAAATGTATTTTTAGTCACTTTACTATAAAATGTGTTGTTGGTAATTAAACTATAAATGTATCACTGTTCATTCTACTATAAAATATGTATTGTTGGGAATTTTTATATAAAAATATATTGCTGGTATTTTTACTATAAAAATGTATTTTTATACTTTCATAGTATATTATTTTTGTTTGGCCTATTCACTATTTGCCCATAGGTGGGATCCTAACAGGTGATACCATTTCGAATCAAGGTGGGTCTAGGAATAACAGCAATTAAGAGGTGGTTCTACACTCCTCAAAACCTCCAATGTGTCGATCAGGGGCCTTGTAGAGAATTTTGGCTCTTCATTGCAAACCAAGGATTCTGTAGTCAGATTCATCTTGCTTGGAATAAGGTTCCTTAATTTGTTTCTTTCACCAAAAAGAGTAGCGTAAGTCAACACACGTGTCTTCTACTGTAAAAGGAGGAAAACTAAACTTAAAGGAGTCTGTCTATATTTCTGAGATGAGGTATTATGTACAGTATTTACATTAGTCGGACTATTGTCCTCATCTTTGTCGCCATATTTGTCACAACGTTTCGGCCGTTGTACGCTCCGGCCTTCTTCAGGTGGTTGGAATTTTGAACTGAACACTTTATTTCGATCACTGGGGTAGACTGTTCTAGTTCAGCGTGCCATATTTGATGGATGTCAGTTATCTCCTGCTAATTTTCCCTCTGAAAGTTCTCCACTGCCTTAACCAGGTATTGAACTCACCTTCTTTGGGTCTGTCACTGGATCTAACCAACGCCTTTATCCACTGTGCCATGTGTTCAGTTCAATTGTGACAAATATGGCGACAAAGATGAGGACAATAGTCCGACTAATGTAAATACTGTAAACTTAAAGGAGTTATGAAGATTACCCTAAGCTTGTCTGCCAAGACACCTGTCAGGTGATGCTCTTCGGGACTATAAAAGAAAGAGAAAAACAAACTTTCTCCCTCCCCCCGTCTCTCTCTCTCTCTCTCTCTCTCTGAAAAGTAGAGGCGAAAACAGCCGAACCTCTCTCTACCTTCACTTCAAGGAATATCATACTGTAAAAAAATATTTATCAATCTAACATTTGTTTCATTTCACATTGACTTTATTTTTATAATCTAAAATATTTAAAATATGATTTTTTTTATAGGTTTTGTATATAATTAATGTGAAAATAAGCTTAAAACTTACCCTTTAGAAATGAATTTTCTCATTTCTTTTTTAACCATTTGACATGTACATTTGTATAATCTTTTCCTACCATTTAAGGGTTAATTGATTAACTATACAGACATTTCTTCTTATTCATTATTAATGATTAGATCAATAGAACTCATTTTTGAGCCTAACAAATTCTATTCTGCAATATTATTTCAATAAATAAGCATCATTAGTTCAATACAAAATGCAGCCTTTAAATATGCATTTTCTTTTGAAGATGCTTTGTTTTAGTTTTTTTTTTTCCTCAAATTTACTTCAAATGGTACAAGGTTAGTTTAGTTTTTTAAAAATTTCAAGTTTTGATACCAGGAAGCAAATCTCACCTGCACTTGTAATGGATAAAACTAGAGATGACATAAAACAAAGATGACAAATTTTGGATAGTTGCTTTTCTGACTCTTTTGCTAGAAAAATCATTAAAATCTTGTTGACATGAATGTTACAATTGACAGACAGGTTTAACTGGACAATTTTTTAAAAAATTACCTATATCAAATTGATTTTGAGATCCTACAATACCAAATTCTATCAGATTAACACAATTCATATTTTGCCTGATTTTTTTTTTTTTAACTCATCTTCCAAACTTGGAATAATGCTAACAAAAAATGCTGGAGACAAACCTTTTTCTCCTTTTTAGTGAAAGTTCCCAAATATGAAAACAATTTAAATCTGCAAAATTTAAGAAAATTATAGTTGGAAAGATATTTAAACCATACTCAGTTCCTTTCATACATTAAACTGTTTCCCTCTGTTGTGGCCAGTGATTGAACTTACAACTCTTTAGGTCAAGTCACTTTTGGATCAATAAACCAACGCTTTTATCCGCTGTGCCATGTCTCTTAAATAAAGGGCTCGGTTAGAAATTCAAACAAATATCACCCGAAGAAGGCCGGAGCGTACAACGGCCGAAACGTCAGGAATATGGCAATAAAGATGAGGACAACAGCCCAAACAATGGAAATAGTGTAAATAGTTACAACCTCATCTCAAAAATATAGACAGATATCGAGGAGTGTTTACCCGTTACCTTCCACGCGGTTTTAAATTCGGAATAATACTTCTCTTAGATTGGCTACCCACAAGGCGAGAGAGGCTAGTTTACGCTACTATTTAAACTCACAACTAAGGGTGGGTGAGATGATAATGATTCATATCTATGCCATTAGTGCAAAATTGAATGCACTGGACTAAAGTGAAATTTGATATCGGCTCTATGTTATGCAACTCGCCTCATTCCTAAGTTTGGATATAAAAAATGTGTATAGCAAATTTTTCGTGAGCGTTCAAATACTATTCATATCATGAATTGTGTTATTCAAAGCTTTTTCCCCCTTGTAAACGTGCACAGATCACTAGCGCAAATCAATTCGATACCGCTCTCACGATTATGGCACGCCTTTAAGTTTCCTATCTTCCTAGATAATTATTTCATTCCTTCAGCTATCAGACATACCCGCAATTGATCTTCTCCCGTCCTAATGGTGAGGATGCAGGGGGACTAAAAGACTGGGGGTGCTAATTTACCGCCCCTTGATCGCGTAAATGCAGTGCAACGACCGTCACGGCAGTTATTGGCGGTGTCAATGACACTGACGTTTAGAATAATGGCAGAAGCAACAGCGGTGTGTTTGCAGCTTTTCGTGGAGGCTATTGGAAAGGGCTGGATTAAAAGCGGCGAAGACAGCAGCAGGCATTGATTCCAGGGAGAAATAAGCTGGTTTGTGTGCCAAAGAGATTTCCTTTTTTTGTTCGAAACGAACACCTCTTCCATCAAACTTACAAGCTGGGACATTAGAGACAAAGTGACAAGCATCCGAAAGGGGAAAAAATGATGACAAGTCGGCTTTAGAGGTGTAAAATAATAAAAAAAAAAAATGATAGCGGTTATGGGGTGGTAGACAGATATGGAACAAAAGGAGATCGAAATAAGGAAAATAAATGCAAAAATGAAAAAAAAAACAATAATGGGAAAGGTTAAAAAAGTATGCTGTGAAGAGAAAAAAATAGATGTTAAGAAAGAAAGAAAGAAGAGAGGGCAAAAAGAAAGAAAGAAAACAAGAAGGAAAGGAAGGAAGAAAAGAAAAAGGAGGAGCAAAAAGAACGAAAGGGAGAAAAGAGAAAAGAAAGGAAAATAAAGAAAAAAGAGGGAAAAAAAAGAAAATGAAAAGAAAGAAAGAAGAAAAAGTAAAAAGGAAACAAAAATGAAAAAAGAGGATAGAAATAAATAAAGAAAAGTAGAAATAAAGAAAACAGGAAATGTAAAGAAAGAAAGAAAGAAAGAAAGAAAGAAAGAACAGAGGAAAGAAAAGAGAAACGAAAGAAAATAGGAAAGAAAAAAGAAAGAAAGAAAAGACGAAAGAAAAAACGGGAAAGAAAAAGAGAAGAGAAAGAGGAAAGGAAAGAAAGAGAAAAGAAAAAAAAAAAATAAGTAAATAAAGAAAGAAAAGGCGACATAAAGAAAACAAGTAAGAAAGAAAGAAGAGGACAGAAACAAAGACAGAAAGAAAGAAAGAAAGAAAGAATAGAAGAAAGAAAGAAAGAAAAGAAAGAAAGAAAGAACAGAAAGAAACTAAGAAAAAATTATCATGAAAAGTGATTTAAGAAAGAAGAATTCGCTCTGAAAAGAAGAAACCAATTAAAATGTCATACTGAAGAACTGAAACTTATTTGCGTTTAATGTCCTTTTTTTTCTCAATTCATTTTCTAGTTTCGTCCATTCAACTATTTTTACAAGTAAAGCATACAGAATATCTTTAGGATTTTCTTACACACTGAAATAATTCTACCCCTCTAAACAAAAAACAACCTCAGCCGACATTTTGATACTAAAATAAGAATTTAACTCAATTCATTTTCATACTAAAGAGTTTTAATGTTGAAATAAAGTTTTTAATATTCAAAGTTTTAAATGTAATGTCTGTAGAAGATCATTGACTTTGTTTAAAATTGCATTAAAAACAGCCTTACGGTCCGCGAGAATAAACAATAGGTTATAGTTCCAACTTTTTGTTCACAACTGCAGTATCCAGATATTGAATACACAACTCTTTAGGTCAATTTACTGCTTTAATCCACTAATCCATGTGTTCTTGAGAACGATAGCGGGGGAATTTTGAGACTTATTAAATTAATATCTCCGTAACCATTTTACCAAGCGCATATTGCAATTTTGTTGTTATTATTGCTTTTTTTTTCTAGCACTCCGTATTACGGGTTTCCATATTGTATTCATGCTTGGCCGACTTGGGTTTTTTTTTTTAGGCCTAGTATATGTGCCGATTCCTTAAGTTTTCGTATTTTCCAGTAATGCTCTCTGTCTATTATTTCAACCTCATCCCACAGCGGGTGGTGATCTCCCTTTTTCCTCCATATGTGGTTAGCTATGCCTGATTTTTCTGTTTCCCCTCATGTTACGTCTTTACGATGTTCTTGCAGTCATACCTTAAGAGGGCGGCCTGTTTCTCTTTTATATTTCTTGCCACTTGCTGAAGAAGACCGAAGCGTACAACGGCGGAAACGTCGTGAATATGGCAATAAAGATGAGGACAACAGTTCGAACAATGTAAATAATGTAAATAATCACTGCTTTTGTGTCTAATAAATCCTTTTAAGTCTCCATGGAAAAAAGAAATCATTTCCCGCCATACCTATCTCTATATTTAGTAAAAAAATAAATAAGTAAAACGACATATAAAGTATCGAATGTGAATATGAATTTTTATAAATAAATTTTGACCTATTGCCGAACTGTATAACTTTTAGAATAAGTATGCATATAAATCAATTTTTTTGATACTGTCGATAGTATTATATATGTGCAGAAACAATTTAGTATTATAATCTAAGAAAGATCAGTAGAAAAGTATATAAGAAGGTAGAAAATATATAAAGGAATGTGAGTTATAAATTTAAAAGTTTTGCTAATTTCAATGTTAGATCTTTAATGTGCCTACGGAAAAACAGTTATTTCAAATTTTTGGTTTACTAATTGGCTGTTATTCAAAAACACAATAATGCATGTTTTTCCTGCAGACATGAAAAACAAGGTTCGTTCAGAGATCTGCAAGTTTTGGCTTGTTTGAGGATTTTCCATTTAACCTTAGGTTGTAAATAGAACTGTTCATAATCATATATTTGGTTCTCAACAGTCGAGATGCAGCCGTAGTGAGCTAGTTGATTTTATCCGTATGTCAAAATTATAGTATATATATATATATATATATATATATATATATATATATATATATATATGTCTTATTTTAATTTTTTACTTAAAAGCTCTATAAGTTTTTTTTTTTTTTTTTTTATCTTTTTATATGTGTATTGAGCATTTTTAATACTACTGTTTCCTGGTATTGATTTAAAGAGTTTTTTTATTTATATTGAATTTAAAGTAACAAACATTTTGGGAATTTAAAAAAAAATGTTTTAAATTCAGTTTAAAATATCTTCCAAAACACTGAGAATTGAGGAAATAAATTTTCTTTAATTCGCCAACGAATCAGAGTTAAAGTGAGAATTTTCAGCCCCACAGAGTTTGTGATTTGGAGAACTGTGTTTGGCCTGAATTGGAATTTCGGCCCAAATCGGAAGTTTGGCTCAAATCGGAGTTTTCAGCTAAAATCGAGCATAGCCCGAATATAGATAGAGTTAATGTCATGTTTTAAAGTTCCATGGTGTAAATTGAGAAATTCAAAGTTATTTCTTCGAAATTATCATTGCTGAATTCTAAGCTGGAACAGAAGTCCCACTAATTTTGTGCTGGGGCAGTTAGCCCTTCCTAGGAGCTAGCTTAAAAGACTGCACGGAGTACGGCTTTTAAGCTAGTTATTTATAAAAGGAAAGATCTGTGTTTGCTTCTTACAGAAGTTTACATGCCAAGAGTTAAGACTTTCCTAATAGCTTCATCATAATGAAAACCATTTGGCAATTGACAACGAAGAAGATAAGTGTCCCTGAAGCCAGAAAATATTCAGTGGAGATTTAGAAGATCTGGAAGACCTGATACTAAATAAGGATATTATCTTGATGAAACTGTTAAACCTAAATCCAGAAAGGTCTGCTAGAGTGGGGGGGGGAGCTCTTTAAAAGTATTAAAAGTTGCACGTGAAATTGACACCATTGTTGAGTATATTGAGAAAGATTGGCAGCTTACGGCAACATCACGTTGAAACTCCGGTTTTCATACGAAGTTAAGCAACGTCGAGCCTGGTTAGTACCTCAATGGATAACCACTTGACAATACCAGGGGCGGTAAGTTTGGTTGTGCGAGTGGGGTAATGGATAATGGCTCGAAATTTTTAATCGGAGATTGAGTTAAGCAACGTCGAGCCTGGTCAGTACCTAGATGGGTGACCGCTTGGAAATACCGGGTGCTGTAAGCTTGGATGTGTGAGTAGTGTAATGGATAATGGCTCGAAATTTTTAATCAGAGATTGAGTTAAGCAACGTCGAGCTTGGTCAGTACCTAGATGGGTGACCGCTTGGAAATTCGGGTGCTGTAAGCTTGGATGTGTGTGTAGTGTAATGGATAATGGCTCGAAATTTTTAATCAGAGATTGAGTTAAGCAACGTCGAGCCTGGTCAGTACCTAGATGGGTGACCGCTTGGAAATACCGGGTGCTGTAAGCTTGGATTTGTGGGTAGTGTAATGGATAATGGCTCAAAATTGTTAATCGGAGATTAAGTTAAGCAACGTCGAGCCTGGTCTGTACCTAGATCGGTGACCTCTTGGAAATACCAGGTGCTGTAAGCTTGGATGTGTGGGTAGTGTAATGGATAATGGCTCAAAATTGTTAATCGGAGATTAAGTTAAGCAATGTCGAGCCTGGTTAGTACCTAAATGGGTGATTTCTTGGGAATATCAGGTGCTGTAAGCTTCGATGTGCATATGGGGTAATGGATAATGTCTCAAAATTGTTCCAATTTCAGATGCTTTAATTAAGCAATATCTTGTATCCTGGTTATTATTATCTCGAAAAAAAAAATTAAAAAATCTTTTGTAGCTTTAAATAACTGGCAAAAAGGTCCTAAATAATCAATCAATCAGAAAGATTGGCAGTGGTGTTCTTCTAGTTAACTGGAAATTAGCAATTTCAGCTATGCTTTTTAATTAGGGAATCCGTTCCGTCTTAATTATTATTATCTCGAAAAAAAAATAAAAAATCTTTTGTTACGGTTTTAAATAACTGAAGACCAAAAGGTCCTAAATAATCAATCAATCATTCGTAATCGATTGGCGAGACAAGCTTTCTTCTAGTTAACACCACAACGAAATTAGCAAATTGTTTACTAAGCGTATTTAGAAAAAAGCCGAAAGTTCCGGAACCTAGCGAGGATTGAACTCACTATTTACCAATTGGCTTTAACGACACAAGAATCTATAACACGCTAAATTCTATTACGGTGATTTAGATGTAACTGAAGACCGAAAGTGTGGGATACCTAGTGAGTATCGAACTCACTACTCATTCGTAATCGATCTAGCGAGACAAGCTTGCTCAGTTTTACACCACAACGAAGTGCCCAAATTGATTTACTAAGCGTAGCTTAGATGTGGCACAAAGCCGAAAGTATGGGGAACCTAGCGAGGATTGAACTCACTATTTAGTCATAATTCTTTTAACGACACAAGCTCACCAAACACGCCCGAATTGATTTACTAAGCGTAGCTTAGATGTGGCACAAAGCCGAAAGTATGGGGAACCTAGCGAGGATTGAACTCACTATTTAGTCATAATTCTTTTAACGACACAAGCTCACCAAACACGCCCGAATTGATTTACTAAGCGTAGCTTAGATGTGGCACAAAGCCGAAAGTATGGGGAACCTAGCGAGGATTGAACTCACTATTTAGTCATAATTCTTTTAACGACACAAGCTCACCAAACACGCCCGAATTGATTTATTAAGCGTAGCTTAGATGTGGCACAAAGCCGAAAGTATGGGGAACCTAGCGAGGATTGAACTCACTATTTAGTCATAATTCTTTTAACGACACAAGCTCACCAAACACGCCCGAATTGATTTATTAAGCTAGCTTAGATGTCGTAAAAGGTCGAAAGTATGGGGCACCCAGGGAGGATCGAACTCACTATTCAGTCGTAATTAATCTAGCAAATCGTCGAAGTGGCCCCACTAGATTTTTATGAGTCACCTAAGGAAATTCAAATTGATACTTGAACATGGACAGTGGTGGACAGCTCAGGGTGTCAACTTGCCCGATGATAGGTGGGCCCCTGTGCCGTTTCCCTTCAGGGTGTGATTTTTTTTTCTTAAAAGATGAGTTTAACATAAAACTACTGTTGTTGACCTATCCTATTAATGACAGTTCAAAATTTTCTTTGCGTAAACCTCGAGAAATTTTAACTTTTTAAAATGTCTTTTCTTATACTCCTCATGTAGCATAAAAACAATTCTAAGTTTCATAAAGCCTATAGAATAGAATAAAAAAAAACATTTATAAAGTATTTGTTATATACAGTTAAAGAATTTATTCCTAAAAATAATATCAGTTTCTAGATTCTAACTTTTGTCGTTGATATATAATCCATTTTTACACGCTTTTTAGGAGAGAAGATGACCGAATACTATTGTTATCGACCTATGACCTTGAAGACAGCTCGCAGACAACGTTAATAGTTATTTGTTTAAATGTACTAATTTACTATGAAACAATCTAACAAATATTGGATTCTTAGAATATTTTCAAATTTGTTGCTTTCATTTTTAGTCCTGAATGGAGATTCGATGAATAGTAACTGACTGGGCTAAGGTGTAAAAAACTCTAAATCCCTATTTAAATACCAATAATTATAA